GGGCACAAAACAGAGACCCCTCCCTGTGCCCTCCCCGCACACAGACCCCTCCCCAGCCCCCCTGGCACAGAGCCCCCTTCCCAGCCCCCCCGTGGCACACAGCCCCCTCCCCAGCCCCACCCTGAGCTCCCCCCTCCCCAGCCCCGTGCTCACCTCGATGCCCAGCACGGCCAGGCTGCAGGAGCCGGGCAGGGACAGGGACCTCTGCAGGGTCCTGCCGAAGGTGGAGAAGCAGCCCTGGGGGCACCGAGAGGCTGGGGGCGCTCAGGCATACTGGGGGGCTCAGGGGGGACTCGGGAGGGCACTGGGATGCAGAGCCATGGACGGGCAGTGCCTCCGGGGCTGGGAGAGGTGGCACAGGGACACAGCCCACGATGGGGGGGCGGGGGTGTCCCACCTGCTCGTGGATGTAGCCGGGGCTCCTGTCCTGGCACTGCTCCCAGCCCAACAGGTCCCCCAGGAGCCCGTCCCGGGCACAGCAGGCCCGTGGCCACGGCACCCCCGGGTGCAGCTCCTGGAATCGGGAGCCATTCCCAAAGTCCTCGGGGCCCAGGACGCCACAGCAGGAGAACTGGGACGGGAGGGGACACCATCAAGGGGGTGACAACAGAGGGGATACCGTCAATGGGGTGACAACAGGGGGAACAAACACCATCAATGGGGTGACAACGTGGGGAGTGACCAAGGGAGGGGGGACAGCCCAGCCTGGGGGTCGTGACTGGGGTTCCTGAGCCCCTCACCCACTTTTGGGGCACCCTGGGCAGGTCCTGTGGGTGCTCCACACCCCCCCAGCACAGCAGGAGCCTCCCGGGGCTCACTGGGACCATCAGGGTGGTCCAGGGGGTGGACAGGGAGCCCCCCGGGCACTTACTATGCCCATGGAGGTGTTCCAGGGGTGCCCCAGGAGCCCCCCGGGTGCTCACCGTGACCATGAGGGTGTTCCACGCGGTGCTGAACACCTCAGCACCCTCATCCCCGCGGTAGTTCCTCCTCAGCTCCGACAGGAAGCGCTCGGGCCGGACCTGTGGGATCGGTGCCGGGGGTGGAGCCGCTCCCCACCCACCCTCCCCAGCCCCAGCCCTCACCCACCCGTGGGACCCCCCGACACGGCCCTGGGCTGGGGGCGAAGGGAGGAGAGGGGAGGAAGGACCTTGCACCTGTCCCTGTTCCCTGGGGGAGCCCTGGGGGGACAGAGGGAGGCTGGTGGCACTGGGGACAGTGCCGGGGTGTGGGGACAGTGCCAGGGTGTGGGGACAGTACCTGCTTCCAGTGCACCAGGAAGAGAATGGCCCCCACCAGCTGCATGAGGAAGACGAGGCTGACGAGGATGAAGAACTGGGGAGGCGGGTGGGGGAGTCAGAGACCCCCCGAGCCCTGGGCAGCTCCCTCGGGCTGTCCCTGCCCTCCTGTGCCCTGTGACCCTGCCAAGGGGGGACAGGGGACACCACCAACAAGTGGGGGGGGAAACAAGCCCTGGGTGCCAGGGCCTGGGGGTGCTGCAGGAATTGGGGTGAGGGTGCTCAGAAAGGGGATTCTGCCCCTCAGCATCCGTGGGAATGGCCTGGGAATGCCATGAGGGACAAGCCAGGGCTTCAGAGAGAAGGGATCCACTTGGTGGCTTTGGGAATCCTCTGGACTCTGGCTGGAGAGGGGGGAGGGTTGTGGGGAATGTGAAGGGAGAGGAACAGCAGCTTCTGGCTCCTGCAGGGACACCTGGATCCCCCAGCACCCTCCTGCACCCCAATCCCTCTATCCCCAACTCTCCATCCCCCAACCCTCCCTCCCGTCTCCTGCATCCCCCAAGCTCCTGAACCCCGCAGTCCCTCCCCACATCCCACCCCCCCATCACATTCCACCGCCCTCCAGACCCCCTCCCCTCCCCTGTCCCCTCCCCGCCATGTCCCCTCACCAGCAGCAGGAGGGGGCGGCTCCTCCGCAGGGCCCCGCAGCAGCCGAGGCAGCCGAGCAGGGCCAGGGCGATGCCGAGGGCGAGCAGGAGCCACGCGGCCGCGCCCAGCACGGCCCGGGCGGCCACGAGCGCCTGGAACCCACCCGGGTCCGCGGCCACCCAGAGCCCCAGGGCGGCCAGGAGCGTCCCCCCGGCCTGCGGGACAGGGGGAGTCAGGGGAGACCGACTCCAGCCCCGGGGACGAGCAACCCGAGCCCTGTCCCAGCCCTGGGACCGGTGTCACCCCCCCCCGAGCCAGAGATGTCCCCCCTGGGAATGGGGATGCTCCAGCCCTGGGACTGGTGTCACCTGTTCCTGAGCTGGACAGAGGTGTGACCCCTTGGGAATGGGGGACATGGTGTCCCCCCCCGAGCCAGCTGGAGATGTCCTCCAGTGGGAACGGGTATGCTCCAATCCCGGGAATGGTGTCACCCCCCCTGAGCCAGAGATGTCCCCCCGTGGATCGAGGGGTGTTCTATCCTTGGTCCCCTTCCTTTGGCCAGTGTCACCTGTCCCTGAGTTGGCCAGAGATGTCTCACCCTGGGGACAGGGGATAATCCAGCCCTGGCACTGGTGTCCCTCCCTGAGCTGGCCAGAGCTGTCCCCCCTCGGGGACAGATCCCCCCCGGCCCCAGGAGGACTCACAAACACGAGCACGTTGAAGATGAACATCAGGTACTTGAGGCAGCTCAGGACATCCATGGGGACTCCAGGGGGGGAGACAGCCCCGTCTGTCCCTGGGGGGGGAAAGTAGAGCCCTGGCACAGCCAGTCCTGGCACAGCCACCCCCAACAGCCACCCCAAACCATCCACAGCCACCCCAAAACCCCCAACAGCCACTCCTAACACCCCACAGCCACCCTGAAACCTCCCACAGCCACCCTAAAACACCCCACAGCCACCCCCAACAGCCACCCCAAAACAACCCACAGCCCCCCCACCCCCCCCAGCCCCCCCCCCCCCCCCCCAGCCACTCCAAAACACCCCAAGGCCACCCCCAATAGCCCCACAGCCACCCCCAACACCCCCTGACCCTCCACACCCCCCAACACCCCCCACCCAGCCCTGGCCTGTCTGGCCCCCCCAGCTCCCGGGGGACACAGGGGGACATGGGGGGGACACAGGAGGATACAGCCTCCCAAAGTCCCCAGAGCATCTCCCACCCCCCCAGCTCCTGGGGCACCCCAAGGAACCCCAACCCCCATGTCCCCTCCAAATCCCGTGTCCCCTCCACCCCTGTGTTCCTTTCAAACCCCATGTCCCCTCCAAGCCCCACCTTCCCTCCTCCAAACCCCACATCCCTCCAATTGCCGTGTCCCCTCCAACCAGTGTCCCCTTCAACCCTCGCGTCCCTTTCAAACCCCGCGTGCCCTAAAAATCCCATATCCCCTCCAGATCCCTTGTCCCCACCAAATCCCGTGTCCCCTCCACCCTCGTGTACCCCCCGGCCCCCCTCACCTCTGGGCACAGTCCCGGGTCCCTCCAACCTTTCCCGGCCCCGCCGGAACCCCGCGAAGGCTGGAAAATCCCTCCCCCGCTCCGTCCCCCCCAGCCCGGCACCCCCGAGGATCCCCTTCCAGCGCTGAATGATTGATGGGAAAAGGATCCCGAGGATCCCGCGGGCCCGGGAGGGGCAGCGGAGCGGGAAGGGAGGGAGAGAACCCCGGGGGGAAAAGGGGAATTTGGGAAAATGAGGAATTGAAATTGGAGGGGAGGGAAAGAGGAGGAATTTTGGGAAAGATGGGGAATCGAAATCTGAGTGTGGGAAAAGAGGAATGTAAACCTGTGGAGAGGGAAAGATGGAATTTTGGGAAAGATGAGGAATTTTGGGAAAGACGAGGAATTGAAACCTGTGGGGAGGGAAAGATGAGGAAATTTGGGAAAGACGAGGAATTTTGGGAAAGACAAGGAATTTAGATCTGTGGGGAGGGAAAGACAAGGAATTGAAACCTGTGGGGTGGGAAAGAAGAATTTAAACCTGTAGGGTGGGAAAGATGAGGAATTATTGGAAAGACAAGAAATTGAAACTTGTGGGGTGGGAAAGACAAGGAATTTTGAGAAAGACCTGTGAGGAGGAATTTAAACCTGTGGGGAGGGAAAGAGAAGGAATTTTGGGAAAGACAAGGAATTTAGACCTGTGGGGAGGGAAAGAGGAGGAATTTAAACGTGTGGAGTAGGAAAGACGAGGAACTTTGGGAAAGATGAGGAATTTAAAGCCGTGGGGTTGGAAGGATGAGGAATTTTGGGAAAGATGAGGAATTTTGGGAAAGACGAGGAATTTAAACCCGTGGGGAGGGAAAGACGGAATTTAAACCTGAGGAGAGGAATTAGAGGCAAAAAAATCGAGTAATTTATATAGTTAAAATTTCCCCCTCAAGGGGTAAAAATTTAAATCTTTTAGGCGTAAACATTTAAATGTTTTATAGAGTTAAAATTTCCATGAACTCGCCCACAAAGGGTAAACAATTAAAGATTTTATGGGTAAAAAATTTAAATGTTTTATACAGTTAAAAATTCCCCCAAAAGAGGTAAAGAATTAAAGCTTTCAGCGGTAAAAAATTAAATCTTTTTTTTAAAAGAGTTCAAGTTTCCGCGGACCTGCCTGCCTAACGCGCCCTCCCCGACGCCAGGGGGCAGCCGAGCGCGAGGACCACAAAGCCGCGCGGCGCGGCCAGAGCGTCTCCCCCTCCTTTTACCCCACCAGCTGTGGGGTTCCACCAATCAACGCGCGCGGGGGCGGGATCACAGCGAGAGAGACGGTAGGAATGACCAGTCATAGCGCTAGAGAGGCGGGAGCACGGAGTGACTGGCAACAGATGTGACCAATCAGCATGCGGCACGGCGGGGCGGGGCGCGGTGGGCGGGCGTTCCCGTTCCCTTCACAGCGTCGTTCCGGGGATGTAGCGGCCGGTGAGGCGGCCCGGGCGTCCGGGGGTGACGGGGCGACCCCGAGCGCCGGCGTTCCCCCGGTCACGGCCCGGACCCGGGGCCGTAACTCGGTGTCTCTTCCCCCAGAGCGGCGGCAGAAGGACGCGCACGGAGCCGCAGCGGAGCCGCCGCCGCGCCCATGGCGTCCCGAAAGGCCCCGCCCGGCGCGGGCAGCGCGGCGGCGGCTGCTGGACGGGAGCGGGAGCGGGAGCGGGAGCGGGAACGGGCGCACCTGGAGCTCGCTGAGCTGGGGCCGCTCCTTGAGGAGAAGGGGGAACGAGGAGCCGCCGGAGCCGCCAGTGTGAGAGACCCGAGGGGACGGGGCAGCCCGGGCGGAGGGTGGCCGGGACCGGGATCACCGGGATCGGAGCGGGATCGGGGGTCACTGGGATCGGGAGTCACCGGGATCGGGAGGCACCGGTATCCCGCGGGCAGATGGCGGGGCGGGTCCGAGTCGTTCTTTGGGCTGGTCCCAGCTCAGAGCCGGGCAGGGATGGAATGGGATGGCACCGGGATATCCCGGGATGGGGATGGCACCGGGATATCCCGGGATGGGGATGGCACCGGGATATCCCGGGGTGGGGATGGCACCGGGATCCCTGTGCCTGTGCTGGGTGTTCTCGGGGTGATCCCAGTGCCCCAGCAGTCCCACAGCGCTGGGAATCACATCCGAAGCTCGTTCCCAGCACAGCAGGAGAGCAGGACCCGAAGCATTCCCAGGTCCGGGGGGAGGGTCAGGATTCCCGGGTGGGTCAGGGTTCCTGGTCGGTGTTCCCAGTAGCAGGGTCAGGATTCCCGAGGGGAGGTCGGGTTTCCTTGGGCAGGGCCAGGATTCCCGATCGGGGTTCCCGGGAGCAGGGTCGGGTTTCTCGGTCGGGTTTCCTGGGATCAGGGTGGGATTTCCCGACCCAGCCGATCCAGCGCTGGTTGCAGGGATGCAAATCCCGCGGTAATCCCGCCTTCCGACAAGAAAAATCTGGGATTAGCCCGCCCGGGATGGGTCAGGAGTTGCATAAGTGGGGGGTGACCCCGGGTCCTGCCTCACCCTTGCGGGAGGATGGACCCCAGGAGTTCCCAGAGGCTGGAATGATTCCCTCACAGGAGCTGGAATGGTTCCCAGGGGCAGGAATGGTTCTCAGGGCCAGGAATGATTCTTTTCCCAAGGGTCGGAATGGTTCCTTTCCAGGGGTAGGAATGATTCCCTCTCGGTGGCAGGAATGGTTTCCTCCCAGGAGCAAGAATGATTCCCAGGGCAGGAATTATTCGTTTCCCAGGGGCAGGAATTATTAGTTTCCCAGGGGCAGGAATGATTCTTTTCCCAGGGGCAGGAATGATTCGTTTCTGGGGGCGGGAATGATTCTCTCCTGGAGGGAGGAGTGATTCCCAAGGCTGGGAGTGACTCCCTGTCCCCGCAGGCCGAGGAGCCGCCGGGCACGGCGGCACGGGAGGAGGAGGAGGAGGAGGTGGTCCGGGTGCTGACCCTGCCCCTCCAGGCTCACCACGCGATGGAAAAGATGGAAGAGTTCGTGTACAAGGTACTGGAATCTGCAGGGATCCCCCATCCCTGCATTTGTAACACATTCCCCAATCCCAGGGCTGGGATAAAGCTCCACACGGGCACAGTGGGATCCAGCCCTCCTGGGCTGCTCCCAGAGATCCCCTGGGAATGCCGTGGGAAGGGGATGGTTGAGATGGGGGGGATCCAGGCTGGATGAGCACTGGGAGCAATCCCAATGTCCCTGTGGAGCTGGATGGGACTGGGAGTCACCCAATCCCAGTGGCTCCAGCACAGCCCAGGGAGAACCTGGGAATGGGAATTCCCACTGCAGGGAATGGGCCTGGGGGTGTGGAAGGATTAAAGCTGAGAGTGGGAACTGTCCCTGAATCCCAGGGGGGGCTGGAAATCACTCCCGGGGGGGGGCTGGGAATCACTCAGTGGGAGGACCAGGAATTACTCCCTGGAGGGAACTGGGAATCACTCCCTGCAGGGCAGGGAGACACTCCCTAGGAATCACTCCTTGGAGGGACCAGGAATCACTCCCTGTGCTCTGTGGGGAGGGAGGTGGGGACAGATGTGGGGACAGATGTGAGGTGGGATGTGAGGAGGGATGTGGGGCAGGCTGTGGGGTGGACTGTGGGACAGATGTGGGGCAGGCTGTGGGGTGGGCTGCAGGCAGGGCTCTCAGTTCTGGGCGAGTTCTGGCTCCCCAGCACTCCTGGGCTGGATCCCCCAGCTCAGTGTCCCTGGAGCCCCCAGGCCCTTTCCCCTATGACATTCCCGGGATGTTGCAGGTGTGGGAGGGGCGCTGGC